ATAAAACGGCGGTCCAGTGCTTCCATGTTTTTCTTGGTGGTCTGGCTTCAATTGACTCACGCTTTCAACTATGAAAATACTAAATCTCCACAAAACCCCTTCTGATAATCTAGTAATGTATTGAGTTACTATGGGTTATTCATTTTCAGCTACTGTACCATTTGAAGATATCGATTAAAGATTTGATATAAGTTAGGTTTACATTTTATGTCTGAACTATGTTATCATCAGGTTCACGAAATTTTCGGTAAGAATGTTCTCATTGAAATTATGAACAGATTTCAAATAAACGCTAATTTAAATCCGGTACTCATACGAAAATTTTTCAAGAGTTGCATAAAGTACTTTCGGGCTTAGGAATCAACGCTGAGACATCAGAACAAAGAGAATGAGACCGATTGTTCTCATTTCTAAACTCAATCAGTTTTAAACTATATTCAATGGTTGAATTTTGTTAATCACACCGGAAGTTTTTTTATAAAGTGTGAAGGTTTATTCATTTATTTGAAGAATTAAAGTAAGATTCAGATACGCTCTCATGTTGTTTTAATCAAAGGAATAAGTCACCTATTTTTGACTTTCTTATACTGATATTTCTTGCCAAGAAACAAATAATCTACCATATATTAGTAGATGATTTGTAAATACGAAGATGAATATTAAACTGTTAATGTTTTATTAAACTTGTCAGTATACAAATTTTACTCAACCGATGAAATAACTTAAAGAAGCGTGGAAAAATGGTGCAATTTTAGGCAATTGTATCATAGTTTATATTTGTATTGTTTGTCTAAATTCTCCCACTAATGCTTAGGATTGTAACTAATCAGTCTCGTATTGGTATATGTGCATCCTGTGCAGATTGCCTGGATAACATCTTAATTTCTCAAACATTATAAACAAAGACGGACAAATAAAATATTTTAGTTACCATTATTTAATATGCTTTGAATATCCAATTATACAACTTTAAAATTGTCTATCAAAATTTGTCTTTTATAAGCAGCAGTGGAATCCAGAAAGCGCGTTTCGTCTCATTTGGGACTTATCAGCTGGCTGTATCTGCGTCTCACAGTTGATGCTGACTCTAGGACTCAAATTCAGCCCCGTTTGCTTCAAATGCCATCACGTTATCCGCTCAGCTACTTAGTCCTAATAGCCACTAGCTTGTTCAGTGAGGTAAAGTTTTAATTCACTTTGTTATTGTTTGTTTGAATCTTCCCATTGATGTTTAGAACTGTAATTGATCAGTCTCTTATTAGTATATGTGCATTCTGTTTCCATCTCAACTTTGTGGCTAAGTAGATAACGTGATGGAGCGAAAAACAACTGAGGAATACAGGTACATCCATGTGAAGAGTCTAAAAAAACGACGAAACGCAAGTCCTGAGTTTCACTGCTGGTCACCATCGAACTTTGCTTATCATGATTATATTGTGAATGTCAGCTTTTCAGTTTCGAAAAAGACTTTAAAGTAAAGTATTTAAAATTATAAATAAATAAATATATGAGGCATATAAGGAAAAACTTATTTCTCAAATATTTTTATTCAAATTGATAATGCTACGTCATTTAAGATATCAGAAAGGAGATTTCAGTAATTTTATAGTTGAAATCATGAGTCAATTGAATCTAGACCATCATAAAAAACCTGGGAGTCACTGAATGGCCGTTTCGTGTGATTGTGGGACTCTTTAGCAGTGCACATCCACGATCCTGCCTCGCAAGATTGTAACCTAGGTCCAATCAGTCGCGTGCGCGAGCGCTTAACCACTAGACCACTGAGCCGTCATCCATTTAAGATATATATAACTGAATGAAACAATCATAAATGATCGTCATTATCCTTTTGTAAAACTTTCAATCTAAAGAAATATCATGTAATATCATTAAGTTTATCAATGTTTTATACAATTTAACATTTAACTTATAAGAATATTAATAAACATATTTGTTATATATTTCTATGGAAGCAATTTGAAATTAATTGCAGATTATTTAATAACAGTATTAGTAATATAAAAATAAACATTATTTTGTTTTAATTATTTTATAGTAAGTCAATCAGTGACAACGTAGAACTTCGTACGTACGTACGTACATCAGTTCGAGTTGCCATACCACATAAGCACAGAGTTCCAGTTGCCCATTCAAATTCCATAGTGGTGGAAATAGCAAGAGTATAAGCAGTAATCGGGAAGATTAGTACTTGAAGATGTTATTAAAGGAGTATAATCCAATGAAATAAATTTGGAAAGATAAAAAGATAGAGACATGAAGAATTCAGATTAGAATTTGGTAGAATACAAATAGTGGATGCACCTTCGTCATTGCAAACAATTTTGAGCCATGTCATTCAACGTCTCTAACTATCGATTGCTATCATCTCGCGGATCCCAATCAGGTAGTCTACACCTACCAACATGGCTCAATCTACTCATCAGTGACTTCATGGATTTATGACACGTTTCGGTCTGGCTTTCTTCCAACCTACTTCTACACCATGAAACATTGCACGTCGTGGCAGTAGGTGGTTGGGTTTACGTAACACGTGACACAGCCATCTCAACTGATGAAGTTTCACTACTTCATCAATCGATTTGCAATCCTTACCTTGTACCCGTTTTCTAACAACTTCATTACTTACTCGATGGTCCCATGATATACGAGCAATGCTTCGAAGACACCTATGATCAAAAACTAGTAGTAGTACACAAATATTTTAATCATCAGTTATGAAATGCATAATTATTATGAAACTGAAAAAAGAAAACAAAAAACAGACAAACAAAATACATGACTGTATAGTGTCTTTGTTTTTAATGGATTTGTTTATTTGTTATGATTTTGAATAAGTTACTTCCTTTTTATCATATGATTATTCAATTTGTATCAGTAAAACACAAAACAATGCACATTCTAATTTGAAATTAATTTATTAGGTTTTAAGATTCAATGTTAACAAATTCAAATGTTTAATCATAGTTACTGAATGTTACAGATTTAACAAGTTGACATGAGCTGATTAATAAACTGTTTAGTACAATATAGTCAATCTGTAGACTATAGTTAGAACTATTCACATATAAAGTGATCAGTATGAAAAATCTAAATCCAAAGCAAATAACATTTGTAAACATAATAAGAAAAGATGGATAGTGGCTAGAAATGGAATCCAGTAAGCGCGTTTTCGTCCTATCTTAGGCTCATCAACTTGATGTATCTGCATCTCAGAGTTGATGTTAACTCTGGGACTCGAACTCACGTCATCCACTTAACTACTGAGTCCTGATAGGAACATGATTGTGAAATGGGGTGAAGTTTAAATTCACTTGCTATAGCAAGTAAATTTATGGGTAAACATATTTATTATCGTATTGTTTAGTTGAGTATGAAATGAAAGTATGAGTTTTGATTTATTTTATATTTTATTATAATTTTCACTCATAAATAAATGTTAATTCATTTTAGAGATATGATTGTTATACTGAGTGAAGACTTTCATGTCAGTGATTATAACGATTTTGCTGGAGGTATCATGTATACTCAATTCTGTGGAGTCCCATATTAGGACGAAACGGTCGTCAATTTATTCCAGGTCTAACTTTAATTGACTTATGAATTCAGCTAATAAATTACCATAATATCCACAAAACCACTCTCTGATTAAAGAGTTAAATTAAATGAAATAGTTCTACATAATGTAGTTTATTTATTATATGCATTGATAAAATAGGCCAATGATGTACTGGTTAAAATTTAAATAAACTATAATCAATGAACAAAAGTCTACCATGGCTGAAAACAAAAGAGAAGAGTAGGTTAAGACATTGGAAGTGGATATTTGCTTATTCACTTACTTACGCCTGTTACCCCTCCTGGAGGAGCATATACCTTTAAAATAATATTAGTTTCATTAACATGAAGCTCATTTAATGTATTGTAAAACTGTAGCTTTTTTAAATGCAGTACTATTTTTATTTGCAAACTCCGCCTTTAGCTTCTCCGAGGGCTACTGCCTGTCCCAAGCCCGGATAAAGAAGGAGGGTTGGACATGGGGTTAGCGACCTCATCCCTTAGAAAACCAACCCGCTAAAAAAACGCTAACCAGAAAAAATAATTCAAACCATTTAAACTCTGTCCTGAGAGTTGAAGGAATAATTATGACATCTCATGATGAAAGCCGAGTTCTTTCGGAAGTCATGAGGCCGATGCACCTTCTAACAACAACAATTTTTATAGGTACATGGAATGTCCAGACAATGTGGGAGACCGAGAGAGTCTTCCAAATTGCTGCAGAAATGAAGTTTCAAAGAGTGTAACTTTAGGATTCTTAATATATTTTGTTATAAAATGTAGCCGAACAAATGTTCTTGTTAATAAACATATCCTCTTTAAATTTCAATAATCTCTTTATTTGGGAATACTTAAGTTATTTATTCTTACAAACAAGTTTCTAGTAGTCGGAATGTAATTAAATGAGGTAAAATCTTCAAGAATTTAAGTTTAAAACAATCCTGTTTTTCCAAGATAATATGATAACAATTCTTTGAATTTGAACATTTTCCGTTTAATTAGTATACTGCGAAAAAAGGTGACTTTAATAAGATACCCTTAACATACATTGTACTGTGAAAAAATGTAAAAACAGTCTAGATTTCATTCACTTAGTATTGTTTGTTTGAATCTTCCCATTGCTATTTAGGATTGCAACTGGTCAGTCTCTTATTGGTATATGTGCATACTGTGCTTATTGCTTCGATATAGCCCTTATTCACACGCATTATAAGCAGAGACGGATAGTGACTAGGACGAAACACGACTCCTTGACTCCTCTGCAAGCCACTACCCATCTTTGCTTATCATGATCTTTGCTTACAAGTATAGTTTTCATTCAAATATTTTGCCAGAAAAGGACAAATAAAAGGGAAAAAAAGTCATGTAGGTAATGTTAGTAAAATAAACTATAAACTAAATAAAATTCATTGGGTATAACTTACATTTTAAAAAATGTATTCCATATTGTTATCATGACAAATATCATTTAAACAGTAAATTTCCTCTTAGCAACAAAAAATATTTTTATAATAATTCTAATTTGAATGAACCAATCAACGTGAGGCGGAAAGATAAAATCAACCAATCATATTCAAGTAAAAATATATTTTAATAAAGCAATAATTTTAAATTTTATTAAACAACTAACATTGAAGAACAACATTAGTGAGTAAAATCGAATAAAATGTAACAAAATCTTTGTAACTAATTAATATCAATCAATGGTCTATCAGTTAAGTGCTCGTGCGCGAGGCCAATATGTCCTGGGTTCGAATCTCGTGAGGAGGGATCGTGGATGCACACTGCCACTGAGGAGTCCCATACTAGGACGGAAAGGTCGGCCACTGATTCCAGATTTTCCATGGTGGTCTAACTTCAATTGAATCATGATCTCAACTATATAATATCAATCACTTTATTCCTTATGGAACATTCTTCGACTCTGTGGTGTTCCTGAGAAGATTGTTACCAACATGCCGAATTATTACTGTACACTACATTACAAAGTCGTATATGAAACGGCAGCTCCCAGATTTATTCCAAGTCAGGACGGGTGTCAGACATGGATGCTTACTTTCTCCCTTTCTCTTGACGGTCGACTGGATTATAAAGACCTCGATATCTGAGAGGAAGCGCAGAACACAATGGATAGCTTGGACGTGGCTAGATGATTTAGATTTCTCAGTTGACCTGGTTCATTTATTCGATAAAAACCAATGCAGGTGCATACGGTCAGTGTAGCAGCTGTATCTACAGCAATAGGTTCTAACATACACAGAGAAAGAAGCAGGATTCTAAAACACAACAAAAAATTATCAACCTAATCATACTTGTCTGAGACCCACTGCAAGAAGTGGAAAGTTTTTCGTTCCTGGACAGCATCATCGACAAACAAGTAGAATGTGGTGTGGATGTAAATGTAAGGGTTGACACAGCAAACCCAGCATTCCTACATGTGAACAACATATGGAACTCAATGCAACTGTCAACCAACATTTAAGTCTGAATCTTCAATACGAACGTCAAGACAGTTTTTTTGTATGGAGCTGAGACTTCGATAACTATTACAACCATTATGAAGACGATAATGGTATTTATAAATAGCTGTTTACTCAAGACGCTCCATGTTCGTTGGTCGGATACATTTACAAGTCGTTTTAATATCAACTATCACTAAAAGTTGTCACATGTCATCATTTCAGTGAATTGATCGAAGTTTATGTTCATGAAAATAATTTATAACCGTACAAAATATACTTATACATACATTTCTCAACTTCATGAGTGATACAAATAAGATAAATCTATCCGAATCACTGATCTCTTCATTTATAAAATTCAGGGTTTATTCTGTCTCTTTCACTTGTTCATAATTTCCATCATATTATGGTCAGTCAACTGTATATAAATATATGAACAGCAAACACAATATTATGTTAAGCTTTAATATACTAAATAATGTACAAATCCGTTTGAGTAGACTTTATCAAGTTACTTTACCGTATTGGATTGAGAGTAATATGAATGACTAAATTTATTTTAACTAAACTATCTTTAAGCTAAAATAAGAAAAAAACAATCTTGTTTGTTAACATTTTCATGCTATGCACAATATTAATAGATTGTATCTAAGACTATATATGAGCAATCATGTGTAACAACTAAATGTTCATAGGATGTTCTAAATAATAAACGTTGAATAAGTTCCTTAACAAATACTTTATTTGATAAAAACTTTGAAAAATTCTCATATTGTGTTTTAGAACAACACATATATAAATGAACAATATTGATTTCTATTAGATTCTCCTTAGGCTTTACTCTAATATTATAATTGAAATTATGAGTCAATTAAAGCTAGACCACCATGGAAAACCTAGAAGCACTTGATGGCCATTTCGTCCTAGTATGGGATTTCTCAATAGTGTGCATCCACGATCCTGCCTCGCGAGATTCGAACCCAGGACCTATCAGTCTTGCGCACGAACGCTTAACCTCTAGAACCACTGAGCCGGTATCTAACGGTGTTAATGTCTTATTTCAACCAATCCAAAAAAGTGTACAACCGTCCACCGTTGTCTTCAGTGAGTTGTTATTTCACAACAAACCTAGATGAACTCCACTGATCACTGCTTCTCACAAGAACTCCAGGAAATACCTCTTGGTGCCAGTCACTAGTGAACATATATTTATTATCAGAAGAGAGTTTTGTGGAGATTTTAGAAATTTTATAGTTGAAATCATGATATACAGTAATATTTATATGCATATACGAAATTATTAAACCAACCAAGGGAGTTTACGAGTCAATTATCACAGTGAAATAGATTACATAACTAAACATAATAAGTGAAAAATGTTAATTGGTAGTTTGATGATAGGTGTACTAGTTGTGATAAGAATAATAAAGGCTTGAATCAATGTTACATAATGGGAAATAGGCCGTGACTAGAAAAATATAGACACTGAAATAACATTCATAAAAATTATAAAATTGCTTAATAAGAAATGTTCAGATAATTGAGCTGTGAAACGTATATTTGAGGAAAAAAAGAAGTGGTAGGAGGGGGTGAAGAGAAATAAACAAAAAAAGAAATCATTAAAGCCAAGGGAAAGATAAGGGTGTTACAAATTTCTTATGAACTCAAATACTTGGATTGTTGGCTCGAATTCTTATAGCTCATAAATTGCCTTGATTGGTTTAATAATTTTGTATATGCATATAAATATTACTGTATATTAGAGTAAAGTCTGATGAGGATCCAGTCGGAAACAATATTGTTCGCTTATATATATTTATTTATTAATCATTATGTTGAAATGGATATTTCAATTCTGTCTATTTTATTGTAATTATTAACAATAAGCAGCTAAAAACAATTTCCTGTTTCATACTTCGTTTTAAATAAGACAATGTACATTAATGATGGTTTGTTTTTTAACGAATTAATAAACCAGATTGTATTATCCGAGAAATAAAACATTTCAGTCTACCTAAGCCATTATATTTCATTAAAATTTAAACGAGATAATAAGACTTAATTACCCAATGGAACATAGGCCGAAGACCAGCATTCACCAATTCACTTTGTCCTCGGCCTTCAATTCTAGTTCTATCCAGTTGTTGTTCATTCTTCTCATGTCTGTCTCCATGTGTTCTTTGGTCTTCCTCTTCTCCTTTGACCTTCAGGATTCCATGCGAGGACTTGCTTTGTGACGAAGTTGGGTGACTTCCTCAATGTGTGACCTATCCACTTCCAGCACTTCTTAATTTCTTTCTCCTCTGAAATCTGGTTTGTTGTCTCCCACAATAGAATGTTGCTGATAGTGTCTGACCAACGGATCCGAAGTATTTCGCGTAGACAACTTTTAATAAACACTCGTATCTTCAGGATGATGTTTTTCATAGTTTACCACGTCTCAGCTCCATACAGTAGAAATCGCTTGTCATTTGTATTGAAAATTCTGACTTTGGTGTTGGTTGACAAATGTTTTGAGTTTCAAATATTCTGCAGTGTAAAATATGCTGTTCTTGCTTTGCCAATCCGCGTCTGCAGATCTGTATCACCTTCACCGTGTCCATCGATGATGCTGTCCAGATATGTAAAGGTTTTCACATCCTCCAAAGCTTCTCCGTCAAATGTGGTTTGATTTGATTGGTGCATGCTGTGTTGTATCTGAGAATCTTGCTTTTCCATTTTTTTATATTGAGACCTACTGTTGCTGAGGCTACTGCCACACACTGGTCGTCTTCTCCTCCATTTGTTGTTGCGTGTGTGATAGAAAAGCCAGATCATCCGCGAAGTCTAAATCATCCAGCTGCATCTTAGCAGTCCATTGTATCCCATGCTTCCTTATAGATGTTGACATCTTCATGATGCCGTCTATCACCAGGAGAAAGAGGAAGGGTGAGAGTAAGCAACCTTGCCTGACACCGGTCTTTTCCTCGAACGAGTCAGTGAGTTGCCCTCCCTGCTCAGAGATAATAAGAGTATAGATTATATTATAAAGAAATTCTTGAATGAATCGGAAAATAGCCCAGATAGTGATAATCAATATATAAGTAGTTGAAATTAGTAGTTTATAATATGTAGTTTTTCTGTTATTTATTCATCAATATTAGGTATTTATTAAAGTAATTTCATAGCCAAAGTACGAAACAAATTTGTTTGAAAATTAATGAAATTATTGTGTAAAACATGATATTATTAGTTATCTAGAAGGTCTGCTTGAATATCTGGGCTACCTGTCTCTGTTATCTACATATTTCAACAAGTTATCTAATCTTGTGCCCCCAAATGCCCTGGTAAGGCCGAGAGTGGGGAGAGTCCGCTCTCCCTATCGAAATGCTCTCACATGACCAGCGAATATATAGCCTCTGTCAGGGAAGTCCTACTCACTGCCTTCTCGCGACATTACTGTTGTTTACGAAATTGAGAGGACGAAAAGCGAATGTCCGGCGCTTTTACCGGGTTGGTGGACACAGAATGTCCACTTAGGGGAGTTGGAAAACCCTGATTCCAAACCAATGGTGTGCATGGGCTCTAGTATCCTGAGGGAACAAATGGCGTATAGGTCAATCGTTGATTACCGGCTACCATGGGACTGGATCTCCTTACGATGCTTCAGCATATGATATACGTGATCCTCACCTAGGATCCAACCCAAAATCATCGACCCACCGAGAGCTTCATAGACGTGCACAGCTGAGAATTCTGTGAAATTTAAAAATTTTCTACGAACTCCTCATACAAATAAAACATTACAGTTTATGGAATTATGAAGTAAGTGGATACCTTTTTCTCTTTGACACTCAAGAAAGCAAAAATTATTGTTATTTAGAGGACGAAACAGTTAGAAATTTAATAATTTCAATTAATGCTAATGATTTTAGACAAGTACCTTCAATACCAATCCCATTACTGTTTTCTTCATTTTTTTTTAAAGCTTGTTTATTATATTCAATCAACCATATTTACACTTCAGTAATTCAGTTAATGAAG